ATGGGACATTCGCTTCGTCTCCTGATGGAGTTGCGACTTCGACTTCGACTTCCATCCCAAATAGGAAAACGCTCAAAACCCCTAATGGTGGTGGCCTTGCGTCTGGGAAGCAGTCGACTCTTGATATGTTTATGGGATTTCCGCCTAAGGCTAAGAATGCCGAAACCGAACCCCACAATCCAAACGGCGTTGGAGTCAGAAAAGAGGAGTTTGGTAATGAGGGGGATGACAGGGTTTGCTTCGTTCCACTTGATTTGGAGGCAGCCAAAACTTGGATTTATCCAGGTTCTTTGCTCTTTTTCTTAGTCCGTTTTCTCTTCTTTAATTATGCTGTCGAATTGTGGCTCATAATCTTGAGTTACAACAAAAACCTCAAGATGGCCACTGTCTGCCCTCCACGGTCTGCTCAGTCCCATATCCACATGGATGTTGTATAAGTACTTATACGATGATATACATGTGACCCCCTTGGGACTGATGTACATTTCTACTCACTTTGTTTCATCCTTCTATCGACCACAACATTTGGATTGCACCATTAGAGAACAAGAGTAATGTCACACTAAGTGTTTGCATTTAATTAATTTGGTTTGGGATATGCACCACTTATGAATTTGATGTTACTCATTTCTTGAATAACTGTACTATTTCTTTTTTTATAACCAATAATTGTACTATTTCTTATGTGCTTATAGAATAAAATTTTATTCATAATTCATTTTATTGCAGCAAATCTTCCCCGTCGGGATTATCAATTCGAAATCACGAGGACTGCACTATATTCCAATACCTTAGTGGCGTTACCTACTGGGCTTGGAAAAACATTCATCGCTGCCGTTGTAATGTATAATTATTTTAGGTGGTTTCCAGAAGGTACTGCATCACTTTTTAGCATTTTTTGTCATTGCATGTGATTAAGTGTTCTTGATGGTATTTTTTTTTCTTTCTGGAAAATGGCATAAAGAAATAAGTTCAAGTGAGCTGCTTGGAACTATATCAATATGCTTATGGCAATCCTATCTAAACACTGCAAAAGCTGAATATAGATAAGATCTCATTACTCTCAGTAAGGTCCAACTAAGCTGAAAATAATGTTGTCTTGATAAGGTCTTAATTTCTTGTAATGAATTATATACATATTTACTGAAGTAGAGTTATTTATTGGAGC